TTGCTAAAAGTGGCGTAAAACCACACTCACTCACTCACTCACTCACTCACTCACTCACTCACTCACTCACTCACTCACTCACTCACTCACTCACTGGAGATTTTCTTCAAAGTTGTTTGTGGAATGTTTTCAACAATCATTTGTTTGTCATGCAGCAGATTATGCTACTGCAGTAACCATTATGTCTCAGTTGTGAATTGGATGGCCAAAATGGCCATTTTCATATCTATGGAAGATCAGTTTTGGTAGATTTCTGATTCACACCCCAGGCTGAGCCAGTGGGGTTGTGTTATACTTAAGTTCAGTGATGGAAATTAGTGCTCATACATATGCTATATATAGATGGTTTTCTCTGACCTTGACCTTGACCCAGTTCTCACAGTATACTAGGTGCAACTTGGCGTGACACAGCCAGGAAAGTGCTGACTGTGACAGATCAGGTATTCACTTCATCACTGCTGGTATTGCCCTTACATCTGTCTGTCATAGCAGTGTGTGTCAGAACACACAGACTGTTGCCATGGTGCTGTTCAGATATCACTGATACCACAATAATACCTTTTCTTTCTAGAACATACTTTTTCATATCTCCAACAGCAACATGCAGTGATTTATATGTAACACACTCTATTTACTGTAACAATTTACTTGTATTTTATAGAAATACTGTATTTCCTCTATTAAACGCCCGGGCGTATGTTTCTTTCAGACACTCCTTACCCTCGAGGTTTAATGCGGCGGTCGGGTAGCCTAGTGGTTAAAGCGTTCGCTCGTCATGCCAAAAACCAGGGTTCGATTCCCGACATGGGTACAATGTGTGAAGCCCATTTTTGGTCTCCCCTGCCGTGATATTAATGGAATATTGGTAAAAGCGGCATAAAACCATACTCACTCACTCACTCACTCACTCACTCACTCACTCACTCACTCACTCTGGGTTTAATTGCAAAGATAATAACGTGGTGAATTCTGTGCATAAAAAAAACCTGGCGTTAAATCAGGGTCTGGGTGCCGATCTTAGCGCTAAGGTGATCGTAACTGCCATACCTTAACATAGACTTTTGACAATCGTAGCGCTAAGGTTGCTTTGTACAACGGCACCCTGGTATTTGATCGAGACCTGGTGTTTATTTCAGGCCTGGCGTTTCATCAAGGAAATACTGTAATGCTTTGTTGAGTAAGTGAGTGAGTGAGTGAGCATGGTTTTACACCCCTGTTAGCAATATTCCAGCAATATCATAGCGGGGAACACCCCTGGGCTTCACACATTGTACCCATGTTGGGAATCGAACCTTGGTCTTCGGTGTGACGAGCGAGCGCTTTAACCACTAGGCTACCCCACCGCCCCTAGTAATGCTTTGAATTAAGACTATGATTTGAGACAGAAAATAAATCCATGTTACACTATATTCATTGTGATGATATGTATATGACTTGATAGTAAGACTGTGATAGTGAATGAGTTGGGTTTAACGCTGCTTTGGAGATCGTGAAAGGATACTGGATAGGAACTATGAAATGTTGCTTGAGAAGTCTTGTACAAACCTCAGAAAATGATGTTCTTTGAGGAATGTTTGCACTTTTATCCATGATTTCTTGTATACTTGTATGGTATTGTGTCACATCAGGGCCTTGCAATGGAACACTCACATTGTAACCCAAAACTTGTGAAATCTTGCCATCAGTCAAAATGAATATACCTGAACTCGTAATAATAACAAACTGACCTAAAAATATATATTGAATATTCATGCCTTTAAAATGCATTGAATAGACATTTTGGGACTGATGTTCCGTGCAACCCCTGTAGACTATGTATCGGGACAATAACACCAAGTCTGGATTAAAGGCCTCAGGGCCGAGCTATTGAAAGGCATGTATTCTTATGATCTACATACAGTTGTGAACCATTTACACTGCGACGTAAAGGTAACAGTAATGTCTTGAAATGCCAGCTGAGACTCAATACAACCGATGGGGGTTTTGTGCACAGCCCAAGGTGACCGACTGTACCTGGTGTCTGGTGCAGGGCTTTACTGAGGCTACAGGTGGCCCAGTCGGCTGAGGCGCCGCTATTCACTGTGCAGAGTTGTGTCCCTTTGGCACGCCAGGAACCGATGGTTGTGGGTTCGAATCCTGGTTTGCTCCGATTATGTTTCTAGGTTTGTAAGCACCATACCCGTGCTCGTGGGTTTCCCCAAAGTGGTAAATGTCTGAGACCTGCATCACTTTGGGCTTTCTTCCCATGTGAAGCTAACACGCTGTGATATAAAGTAGGGCTGGAATGAGTTCAAATTTACTACCTGGGTACCCATCCCCCTATTCCCGACCCTACCCAGGTACCTACTGAAGGTCTCACGAAACAGGTACAAAATGTCTGATTGGAAATAGTTTGACTGTAGCCCTGGCAAAAATGTAATTAGATACACATATAAAACAATCTGGTCATGCATACACTGAAGTTAACTGAAGTTTCAACTTTGTTCTGACATATGAAAGTCAAAAGGAATGCGTGGATAGTCAGAAAGAAATGAACATTAGTGACTTGTAGTGTAACCATGGAGTTTTAGATATTTTTTGCCATTAAACAATCACGTGACTAACCACGGGTCCGGGTGGTCCTGTGGGTACCCTGGTCCAACTCAGTACCCACACACCCCAAGTACCCGAGTTACCCGTCCCAGCCCTAATATAAAGCAATGTTAAAACCCAACTCACTCCTTTACAGGGATCTCTCTCTGATACTACTTGCATAAACCAGCTCTTTAAACCTTGGTATAAAAACACATCAAAATATGACACAGTTTCTGTTGTGCTTCGTATTAATGTTTCTAAAAAAGTGTGGGAAAGTGCACTTAGTACATTAAATCCAATAGACAAGACTAACACTATTCGTGTATGTATATGCATAGCCATGCCAAGACTGGCCCCGTCGATGTTGGTTACATCATCCAGACATGAGGCGATAGACCTCTGTTGATACAAGCTGAAATTAACACAAACTTTTTTATTCAACAGCTGTCAGAACAAAGTATTTAGAACCTCCTTGCTATTCACCCTACATCCAGTGAATCAACATGTTCGTTATGTTATCCAGGAGGGGGGGGGGGGGGTCGCAATGTGGAAGTCTGCAGGTACGACATGATACATGTCTGTGTGGAGCAGATGGCGGCTTGATTAGTGTTTTGTGGCCAACACCTAAATGTCAGACTGGGTTCCCACAACGCACAACGCACAACGCAGATCACTCTGGCTACACAGGCACCTTCATTGTAGTCACTTTGTGTGGGGAGAATAAATTTACTTGCATCTGCCAGGGTGGCGTATGCATCAGCGATAACTTTGTCAGCAGAACATGCTTTTGTGCATGTGGCTGCTACGGTTTTTGGACTTTTGCTGGATTTGAGGATAATACATTCTTTGAATCAGTTCTGAAGCTCTTTTTCCAACAAAAGGCCTATTTTATGTCAAAGGAATAATATATGCTTTCTTTATCGAGTAATTATATAAGATGGTGTTTGATAATATGATGTCTGTAAGGACTGGATGCATTTTCTATTGTGTGAGTAAAATTATACAGGGTACTTTGGGTAATAAAAGATTCAAACCTGGTTATAAATGTTGAACAATTTCATTTTTTGTGAAAGGTAAAATTTCTACATTTTGTGTGAAACAGGAAATTTGTACAAGCTTTTGTCAGAACTGGATAATACATATTCCAACAAGTAAATGAGTTTATATCATGCCTGTCTATTGTTGTGAGTGGGGAGGTAATTTAGAACCATAGGGAGACGACAGGGGCGGTCGGGTAGCCTTGTGGTTAAAGTGTTTGCTCGTCACGCCGAAGACCCGGGTTCGATTCCCGACATGGGTACAATGTGTGAAGCCCATTTCTGGTGTCCCCCGCCGTGATATTGCTGGGATATTGCTAAAAGCTGCGTAAAACCATTCTCACTCACTCCCCATAGGGAGACGAGATACGCTTTACTCTGAAATGTAAGTGGTAACCTGATAATGCCGGAAGCTTGCTTAAAGCGGTGAAAAAAACACTCATTCACTCACTCACTGATTTAACAGAAATACTGGTGAATGTGGCTTTAAACACAACCCACTCACTCTCTGAATTAGTTGGTGGAAGTAGAATTTAGAATTCTCTCCTTTGAGCTTTAGCCCTTGTGTGGTTGGGGTTATCATTGTTTGTGCAATATAAGTACATATGTAAGTGTGTTATTTGTAGACCAGGCCATTCAACGGTCACCGAGATCTGTGGAGTTCTATAGCCCTCATTTTATGGGCCCGTGCTGGGGCTGGGGCTGGGGCTGGGACTGGGACGAGTCCAAATGTACTACCCAGGTACCCGATCCCCCATTGTCCGACCCTTCCTGGGTACTCACTGTAGCACCAAGAGTTGGGTACAAAATATCTGATAAGGATTTGTTTTACTGGACACCTGGCAAAAAGTATGAAGGTACATCTATAAAACGATCTGGTCATGCATACACTGAAGTTGACCGTAGCTGTCCTTACTCAAAACATCTTAAAGTCAGAAGGAATATGTGTATAGTCAGAAAGATATGCAAACATTATAGCGACTTGTAGGTAACCATGGAGTTGCAGCAATGAATTTTTCTCATTAAACAATATATCAATTTACTAACCACAGGTCCGGGTAGTTCTGTGGGTACCCGGGTCTTACTCAGTACCCACCCAACCCGAGTACCCGAGTTACCCATTCAGCCTTAGTCCGTGCTCAGTATCTGCTTTGCGTACCACAAGACTCTGAGATTCGCCAAGATTATGATTCTAAGTTAGTCAGCGCCATACCTATGCTTGAAGGTTTCACTTCAAGCTTCAGCGTCATCTCCATCTCAACATCTGAATGACCACCAGCTTGCCTGCTCCAGACAGAAATGAATAAAGCATTATATATTTTTGAAATGTCAGTTCATTTAATTATGTTTTTTATGCACATATCTCACAATGTATTTTATGCATTTCAGGCAATAATGAGGGGGTCCGATGGACCTGGCCGCTCCCTCAGCCCCTCCCCTCCAGAACACAGAATCTCCCGCCCTACCTCGGTGATACGCCCCCCAGGGAAACAGATCATACCCCAGGAGTCAATAGCAGTCAACAAAACCCTTGGGGAGGGGGAGTTCGGGGTCGTGCAGCAGGGTGTGTGGACCACAGAGGACGGAGATAAGGTAGAATGGGATTCAGTATTCTACATTTTGTATTCTACACTAGATATGTTGTGTATGTCGATCTTCAGGATTGTCATTATGATTATGATTGCCATTATGATTGTCATTTTGATTGTCATTTTGATTGTCATTTTGATTGTCATATTGATTGTCATTTTTATTGTCATTTTGATTGTCATTTTGATTGTCATATTTATTGTCATATTGATTGTCATTTTGATTGTCATTTGATTGTCTGAAGTGGTAAACGTCTGAGACCTGCATCACTTCGGGCTTTCCTCCCATATTAAGCTGACACACCGCGATTTAACTGGAATACTGCTAAAAGCGGCATTAAACCCAACTCACTAACTCACTCATTTGATTGTCATTTTGATTGTCATATTGATTGTCATTTTAATTGTCATATTGATTGTCATTTTTATTGTCATATTGATTGCCATTATGATTGTCATATTGATTGCCATTATGATCGTCATTATGATTGGCATATTGATTGGCATTATGATCATCATTATGATTGGCATATTGATTGGCATTATGATCATCATTATGATTGGCATATTGATTGGCATTATGATCATCATTATGATTGGCATATTGATTGGCATTATGATCATCATTATGATTGGCATATTGATTGGCATTATGATCATCATTATGATTGGCATATTGATTGGCATTATGATCATCATTATGATTGGCATATTGATTGGCATTATGATCATCATTATGATTGGCATATTGATTGGCATTATGATCATCATTATGATTGGCATATTGATTGCCATTATGATCGTCATTGTGATTATGATTTTCATTTCATTGTGATTGTGATTGTGATTTTGATTGTTATTTTGATTGTCATTATGATTGTCAGTTCCATTCTTATTTAGATTGTCATTTCCATTTTCAATCTGATAATCATTTTGATTTTGATTATTATTATCATTATTAATATGGATGTAAAGGAGGAGAGTAATTCTATGTTTATGTCAACACTCCTCTGACTCTTCCGGTCAGGTCTCCAGCAACCTGTGCTGGTCGTAAGAGGAGACTAAAGCGATTGGGTGGTCAGATTCGGGGACTTGGTTGATTGCGAGTGATCGTACCCTGATGTCATGGAGCGTTGCTCACAATATCAGTCACTGGATTGTCTGGTCTAGACTTGATTATTGACAGGTTGCTGGCATATAGCTGGAATATTGTTTATTGCTGTGTTAAGCAACAAACAAAGAATCAATATATGTCAAAACTATTTACTTACCTAAAGGTACGGAAGATGAAAGTAATATGATATTTGTGTTGTAGGCTAGAAACTGTGATCATTAGATCAGTGTTGTAATTCAAAGTCTTCATCAGTAAGACTCTCAGTATAGAGGCATTATGTGTCTATGAGATTTGAGAAAATATAGACACCGGATACAATGCCTTTTTCATAAGGACCATACAGCTTATCTACATTAATCTTTCATCGATCATACCTGAGAACACTTGAATGTTATGAAAACTATTTAGTTGAAATATGTATGTGATAAAGATCCTGGTTTCAAATTAGCGCACAAGTATTCTGCACATGTAGTCTCTCCGGTATCTGAAATATCTGGGAGCCACATATTTGTGATGGAGGGAGCTGGTGGTGGCAGATAGAGCCCTATCTGTGCAGGCTAATTCGGGAGCTGTTCACCATAGTAACCTTGATCCCTTTCGTTTCAGGTGCAAGTTGCTATCAAGTGTTTGAGCAAAGACAGACTTCAAAATGGAACTCAGGAATTTTTAAAAGAAGCCTCTGTTCAACAGAGTATAGACAATGAAAACATTGTTCGACTTTACGGGGTTGTTATCAACAAAGACAACGCATTGATGTTGGTAAGTTCGATATGAACAAACACATTCATTGGTAGAACAATGATAAAACTTCAAATGGGTGCTGATGAAAATTATCAGTGGTGGAATATAATTTGTTTTTGTTTGAAATACTGAAGTTGAAACGAAATGATGTCAGGAAGGTTATGAGATACGAAATACCAAGAAGAGATATCAATATGGGAAGAAGTTGAGCGGAAAAGTGGAACATTTATTTGAGATCTGTTTCTGGAAAATGGGTTTGAACAAATTAGGTTATAATTAACAATGTGAGTGAACAAACATTTCCACCATTTTGTCAATCAGTTACGCAGGGAAGCATCATTTGGGAATAAAATTCTGTGTAGATCTTAGGTTAAACAATACAAATGATAACAAAACTTCCTTTTTTGTACCCAATATACGAAACACAAAAAATATATTGCAATATGTTTTGTTTGAAAAGGGTATTGTGGTTTACCGGTAATACCGTGCAGCTGTAGTATAGTGATCACAAATCACTTGTCTATTTGCAGTAGAAAACAACTGTGCATGTATATGATATTAAAATATTTTATGGAAATGATATACTGTATTAAAAGGATATGTAATTGATTTTAGGGTGTCTGCATGTAAGTCAGAGATCCAATTTCAACAGGTGGTGGTTGGATAAATTGCAGATGGGAAAGAATAAATGTTGTTAAGACTTCACAGCACAGGCCACGTCACGATATGGCTGAAATACTGCCGATGTGACGTAAAGCATAAACTCACTCACTCACTCACTCACTCACAGCACAGACCTCGTCACGATATGGCTGAAATACTGCCGATGTGACGTAAAGCATAAACTCACTCACTCACTCACTCACTCACTCACTCACTCACTCACTCACAGCACAGGCTGCTCGGTCAACTGGGGCATTGCGGTATCTTCATTTATGACCAAATTTATAGGCTTTGCGTTTAAGAGCCACCTTTTATATATGTTCTGCATCCTGTAAGAAGAATTTTCTTTGTTTCGCAACCTTACTGGTGCATTTCACATGTTCTTTATGAGATGAGTTGGAAGTGAAAGTCAGTCTACGGACTGCAGTTAGCTTTTATTGCATTTCAGAAATATTTACCGACTCATTAAACAGTGATATTTGTCAGGGCTGTTTTGCCATCATGCAAACAATTATTGTTTAGAATTTTTCTTCCAACAAGGTCAGATCCAATCCTAGTTGCGGGACGGTCTCTTCCAAAACACTGTCACTCCTGTTCCAAAACACTGTCACTCAAAGATGACCTTTGTGAAATAAGTCAGCCCTTGCCTAAGGGTTACTGAAGGACTTTAATCATCTGTTTGGCCTATTTAAGACTTTGTATGAAGACATTTTCTTTACATAAATGCCTTTATTATGAAATAAGCCTTCGAGGTAATGTGTTGAGTTAGACATGTGTGAAAGTTAATGGTGAGTCGGCTTATTTACCTCCAACTAAACTGTGGAATTAGTCAACAGATGTAGTGTATGCCTCCAGTCAGGTTGGGAAATGTATGGCAGGTTAGCAATAGCTTCTCACTTTGTCTTTAGAATCTACAGCTCCCAGAAATTCACTTAAAACTTTGCTGTCATTTCTGAAAAGGGATTTTACTTCATTATATTTATCTGAACACACCTTCAGCACCAAATGGGGTTACCTCTTCCCAGACCTAATAAGTATTTAATTGGGGACTATTTCTGTGTTTACTTTCCTGATTTTCGACAACATATTTGTTGTCAGTATCTCTTGGTATTGTGGGTACGGGTGGCCCAGTTGTCTAAGCAGCCACAATTCGCTATGCTAAAAACCTGACATGCACGCAAACACGCACATTGTGCAGAGTTCCATCCCTTAGCCGCACCAGAATCCTTCTCCTTCAAACTCCCTTCCTAGAAAATCAATAATAACAATTGATTTGTATGCAATACAAAAGGTTAAGTACAGTTGACAATTATGAAATATATTTCACTTTTTTCATGCTGTGGAAACAAGTGTTTTCATGTTTCTACTTGACGATCAGGTCCGATGTGAGAAGGATCTGAACTGACAAGTAGAGGTGCGAGGTATCACCAGCATAACACAATTTAGAGTACAAATAAATATGTGAATATGTATCACAATACGTTAAGAAAATACCAGTATATTACGATTTTCAAAATCAATCATATTTCAACTTGTTGGCAAAGTTTAGATATGTGACAAGTCAAAGTGAAGTTATGCAATTCAGAAATTAGCAACTTGATTCCTGTGATCGAAAAAGCCGACTTCCTGAAAAAATGTGTCTATGACACATGCATTGTGATCATTGCAACGTCCAACAAAACGGCGGACGACTACGAAGTTGTCAAAAATGAGCTCTGGAAGTCCAATGTATGGATTCATAAAAAATTACAGATGAGAGAATGCAGCAATACACTGTGGTCGTTTTGCAATACGTGTATCATTATTGCAATAAATTGCTATACGAAAGTCAGGCAATCTGACACTATTGGCCAGCGCATGACGGTAAGGATAGCTGAGGCGTGGCTCCACACAGTGTACATGTGTATGACCTGTAAGGAGTGCCACAAACATGAAAACAGATATCTTTGAAGCCCCATGCTCACAACCTGAGTCATAGTTTGTGACAGTACTCAAAGTCTAAGTCTTTTCTTCCTGGTCCATCAAGCTCCACATCCACTCGGTGCTGCCTAGGACTGCAGACATACTGGAGTACACTGCTGAGAATCTTTTCGCGGACACCTGGTGTCGTCACTGATTTTCAGTGATCCATTCATATAATCTTCCACCACTACTTTGCCTTTAACACAGGGGAATCTGTTTCGGCAAAACCCCATGTTATTCCCTGGCGTTAACATGGTATATTTACTTCACACTTTCAGCTGTACATCAATATTCTGACAGAACTCTCAAGTTTTTGGACGTTCAGAACTACATTCACAATAGATATAAATGTCAGAACTAAAATTCATGGCTATTTGCCAGTAACCATATGATTTTTGGAGATTGAACAGTTTTTTCCTCAAATTTTCCTCTTAAAATGCTTTTAGCTTACACAGACTGTCTCTGTGATCTAGTGGTAGAGGTCTCCCCGGAGAGTAGAAGGTCAGAGGTTTGATCCCTGGCCATGTCATATGAAAAGATGATACTTGTCACCCTGCCTGGGGCTTGGGGCTGAAACAAGGACTGGTCGGCTCGGAGTCAGTATGCTGTGTCTGAGTGGGGTATTCATGTTAAACTGCGGCATGGTATCTCAGTTGGCGGGCTCAGTAAAATTGGCATCAGTCTGGACATGTGCAAGCAGCCCCCCACACACAAACACGTGCACGCCATTATGTAAGTGCAATAATCTTGAACATGACATTAAGCCCAAATTCACCTCACCCACTTTTAATTTAAGGTATCTGCATATTTGTACATGAACCAAGTACTGAAGCATTGTGATTTTGCTATTTATCATATGTACAAACCCTTCAGCTGCGAGACCCATGAAGGTCCGGGGTAGAATAAGTCTTCAGCAACCCATGCTTGCCGTAAAAAGCGACTATTCTTGTCGTAAGGGGCAAGTAGCGGGATAGGGTGGTCAGGCTCGCTGACTTGGTTGATGCATGTCATCGTATCCAATCTGTGTGGATCGATGCTCATGATGTCATTCACTGGATTGTCTGGTCCAGACTCTATGATTTACAGACTGCTGTCACATAGCTTGAATATTGCTGAGTGTGGCATGTAACAACAAACAAACAAACATTACCTGCGACTCACCTCACGCCATTAACATTATTATCAAGAATCGGTTTCCATTTTGTGATGAGGAATATTTTGTATTGCAGGTGACAGAGCTAGCACCGATGAGGTCCCTGTTGGAGTGTTTGAAGGAGACATCATTAAGATTAGACTTTCCTATTCCCCGATTGTGTGATTTTGCTCAACAAATTTGTGATGGAATGTCTTATCTTGAGTCTAAGCGATTAATACACAGAGACCTGGCTGCAAGGAATATCCTAGTGTTCAGTAAGAATAAGGTAAGTCGTTCTGATATCTCGCATGTCAGCCTGTTTATCAGAACTGTATCAGTGTGAGAGCAGATTAGAGTAAGTCGCATTCCAGAATCCGATGCTTGAACTAATATGGTAGCCTGGTGGTTAAAGTGTTGGTTCGTCATCATGAAGACCTGGGAATTGCAGGGATTATCAACGCCTTCTCAGAGGATGATATTCGGACTCAAGTTTGCAGCGAGTATCAGTAAAAATTCCTAAATTGGAATTAAACTTTTCCTAATTTGTGTTATATTCGTGACAAATATGATGGCTTGTAGAGGTGACTTGTCTTTCACTGATAACAGGACCAATAAGAAGTAAAAGGCTTTTTATTCTCAGTTTAACATTATTGCATTGAATGCAATGTTACAATTCTATGTTAAAATACCTTTGAATTTAGTAAATTGTGAATTTCAAAAATAACAATTTTGAACAAAATAACAACTTTTCGTATTTTCCTTGTTTTGATTCCCCACCTATGATTCTAAGGCTGTAGGGGCGGTCGGCCTAGTGGTTAAGGCGTTTGCTCGTAACGGCTAAGACCCGGGTTCGATTCTCGACATGGGTACAATGTGTGAAGCCCATTTCTGGTGTCCCCTGCTGTGATATTGCTGGAGAGCTGTGTGTCCCTGCCATCATGTGACTGGAATCAAACCCCACTCACTCTCGGTAAAGGGAAGCAACTTGTGGCATTGGTTTGTGAAGGACCTGGCCTTACTGGTGTATGTTCTTACCCAGACCACCAGGTTCAATGTGCAAAGCTCACTGCTGGTGCTGCTGGAATATTGCTTGAAGCGGCGTAAAATCATACCCCCTCACTCACTCCCACCCCGATGGTGTGGGGTAAGGCTCTCCTATCTGCCACTAGTGGACCTCCCTTCCAGGCTTGTTTCCAAGAACAGGTGGCAGCGATAGGCTGTGTGTAAAAGAAGTTTCCTCTTATGCCAAGGATGCGTTTTGGTTATTGATTCAGCTTGTAAATGTAAATGTAAATGTAATCAAATAATTATGTTTTTTTTAACTAAATGGCCAGGTCAGACGTTGTATTAATCACATTCATGTTTTAAACTTGCAGTGCTTGACTTGGATGTGTTGCTGTTTTCAGGTTAAAATAAGTGACTTTGGGCTGTCACGTGCACTGGGTGTGGGGAAGGATTACTATCAGAGCAATTTTAGTATAAATCTCAAGTTGCCAATAGCATGGTGAGTAGCAATGTTTGTCATTTCCTTTTCATGAAATATGAAATTCATTCTCTGTGGAAGAGAAAATCAAAAACATATATCATTACAGTGTTTAAAAAGTTAAAAGTTAAAAAATTTAAAAAAAATTGACACTGATTATTGATTTAATTGTCAGTGTGTAATTATGACATATACAATGTGAAAATGGCTGTCAAGTGTTTTTCAAAATCATTTCATTGGAAATATGAGAACGACCCACTTCACAGCACTGAGGTTGGAGTCTTCAAACATCTAGTCTCATTTATGTTTGTTAATAAGAGGAGGGATTAAAGTGGAACAAGGCATAACAATTGCTGTCCAGAGTTGTGTCCCTTGGTCATGCCAGGATCATGTTTTCAAATTCCAGGTTCACCCTGATTTTGCTTCTTGGTTTGTCCAGACCAGTGATTGTGGTTTTCCAAATGGTGTAAATCTTTGGCGCCTACATCATTTTGGCTTTCGTCCCACATTAACCTGACACCCCATGATGTAACTGAGAATCCTTCGGAATTCTCGGTTAGAATAGGTCCCCAGAAACCTTTGCTGATCATAAGAGATGACGAAATGGGTTGAGTGCCAGACTTGGTAGATTGATTTTCATCATATCCAATGATTTTTTGGAGCAGACTTGATTATTTACTTGCTGCCATCATTTAGCTGAAATATTGCAGAGTTTGGTGTTAAACAACAAACAAATGAATGTAATTGAGAGAAGCATCATCAGTTGACAGGTAACATCATTTGGTCCTCTGTATCCAGGTGTGCTCCGGAGTGTATCAACTACCTGAAGTTCACCTCGTACAGTGACGTGTGGGCGTACGCCGTCACGCTGTGGGAGCTGTTCACGTACGGCTTCCAGCCCTGGGCTGGCATGAGTGGACAACAGGTGAGTGACGACATGTCGGACAGACGGACATGGCATGAGGGTGAAAGTGGCATGACAGTCATCAATGTCATGTTGTATTCCGTGTGTTCATTTCATCCTGACCTAGCTCGGTGTGATGACGACATTGTTAGTTTAACTTGCTGTAGTAATGTAATGTCTTGGTGTGTACTTCAACGTAATGTTTTCTATCATTCTCAATTATCCATTTATTAAATCTCCATTTTAGGATAAATACTCCAGACCTATTCACCACCATACCTTTCGTTTGAGTTCTATTCAAATGTCACAACCCTAGAATTACACGTCAAATCAAATTACACGGTTATGACAAGGAATATTATAGATAGTTCTTGAGTATACATACACCTGAATTCTCCTGATGAAGGGGCAAGAAGAGGCCCTTAAACATGTATAATAATGAAGATGTTATCAATGAGACTCCTTGTCATAGTTAGACCGCCTCCGTGGTCTTGTGGTAGAGCGTCCGCCCGGAGAGCGGAAGGTCCAGGGTTCGATCCCGGGCCGCGTCATACAAAAAGACTGTAAAAGATTGTACTTGTTGTTACCCTGTCTGGCGCTCGGCATTAAGGGGCTAAAACAAGGACTGGTCGGCTCGGAGTCAGTATACTGTGTCTGAGTGGGGTATTCATGTTAAACTGCGGCATGGTATCTCAGTGAGCTAGCACTATAAATCGGCATCAGTCCGGACTAGTACAAGCAGCCACACACACACATACACGTGCATGCACGTCGCTATATAAGTGTAATAATCTTGGACGCGACGTTAAACCCAATTTCACCTCACCTCACCTTGTCATAGTTATATCCAGCTTCAAAATGTTCAGGACTCTCAAATTACATGATTCGTTATTGATTGAAACAAGTGGTTATGTAAACAAATACTGGACATTCTGTGTTCCCCCGAGCAACGTCTACAGCACAAGGACTTCCTGTCCCTTTCGGAGTACACAAGAGAAAACATCGTTTCAAGCTAAATTTTGAGTAATAACTGTCTTCATTTTCACTTGGTTATAGTGAGGGCTCACTTGGGCAAGGCTGCGAATTTGATGTAGATCTATGCCGAACTCGCCTTTATTTGAGGCATTTTGTTTTTCGATTTTAAATCTATCAGGGAGATGAATTCTGTGCCATGTCAGTGAAAAGAGATTGTGCTGTTGACATCACTTCTGAAATGATGCTATGGTGGCGAATGGTCAGGGATTATAATCGAATGGAAATAAAATACAATGGATACCCAAGGATGGCATTCTTTGTGAATGGCATTTACTTAAACCAATGGCATCAACAATATCACCTGTTTTAATGCTGAGTGTATATAACAGTATGTATATGTTACAGTCAATGAGTAAACTTTTCAGAATGCCAAAACGTGTTCCAGTCACAATGTACAATTGTGTCCTGATCATGCCATTTTCAGAATACCATGAATTAAGTAAATAGTTATATATATCCTTGGAGCTGTACAGCAAGCTGCGCTTATGTTCATTCATTAATTACCACTCATGATCATTGGAAATAATACGCAGTGTAATTGCTTGCACATACTCAATATAGATTAACAAATTGGTGTGTGGCCATCATCAAGTGTTATCACCAACATTCTGTTATGGTTTTGCTGGCATGTGTCGACATGAAGCTTCAGTGAAATGAACTTCATTTGCTCAGATAATTTCTTTGATTTCATTGCAAATTTAAAAAAATTCAACAAAATTTAAACCCCTTGCAGAATCAATCTCATTACTAAGAATCTTAATTGAATGCAAAAAAGAGATTTATAAATGATTTATTTTATCAGCTTTTATTTGTTATATTTAAGCCGCACTCAGTAATATTGCAGCTATTTGACATCCGTCTGTAACTAATCAAGTCTGGGCCAGACAATCCAGTGATTGCCCAAAAGCAAAACAGTAACAGAACATATGCTTTTCTTCATGTTCATTCGTCATGCTCTGCATTCATTATTCCAAGCAGATATGCCAATGTTCATATATCATCCTCACAGAATAAATTGCCATGTTGATTGTCTGCTTCCACAGGACCCCGCTAAGGCTGTAAGTAAACATTTCTGTGGTTAAAGAATGAAACTATTTGAAAATAAAGGTGATCAAAGACTCCCAATAACCATTACTAGCTGCCGAAGCGCAGTCTGGAGACCGTGCCATTGTTGTACTTGGTGTAGGTTTGCACTTGTAACCATTTTATGTTTCGTGTATTAAAACTCATGATCTGAATTCTTTGTTTTCTGCACTTTGATGTTGTGTTTATTGCCAGCCATCATGCCCATCAAACACTAATTGCAGTCATCATTTAGTTGTATTTAATAATTAATAGTTTTCTCTGCATTTTATTTATAATTGCACCTTTCTTGAACTGATGTCATCAATGTTGTGTAATGTATTGTTACTCCATTAAACCTGCACATCACATCAAAGAGAACATCTTTATGTTACATATAGTACTCAAAGGAGGTTAAGGAATACCTTAATTATTTCATACGACTGTAGTTAATGTGTCATGCCATGACAGATTTACAATAGTGACGTAAATAAATAAGGATTTTTTTACTTGTTTTGAGCAGCTTTTGCAGTGAAGAAATGTTGTCTGGAACATTCCTCAGTGTCTGTTACAATGTTCGATCCTTATTGTTCTCATATATTGCATGTAGACAGTTTGACATTGTCATCCACATGGAATCAAGGCATAGTCGATGTGGTCAAAATCAGACTTTTATTCAAATTTGGGTCCGGTTTGGACAACTTCCAATATTTCTGATATTCCTGTAAGAGTTATGCCCCTTTGGTAAATCATGTTCTGGTCAGACACACAAACCAAAGCTCAGTCTCCATGATAACATAATTATAATCACGGATATGAATTGCAAATGGCCCTTGCTTTAGATAAACCAGTTCAAATCAGGAGTTGCATCCTCAGAGATGTATGGAAATGAAATATATATTTTGTTACTCAAAGGGAAAATGTGGTCTTGCTGTACTAAAAAATAAAATCTACGTCTGTTCTCTTGAACATCAACTATCTTGAGAAGACATTGAAAGATTAACTTGTCAATGCCACTTCTGTATACTGCATAAGGACCCAGGGCTTGCTAAATTGACCTGTTGTTTCACAGAGGTTTTGAATCTATACTAGACAGATGTTTCAATGATTAAGTTGGCCAGTAAAACTAGGACCAAATCATTTTTTGAAAGGTTCATCCCAAAGCAAAATTTGATTCCTCTGTAAATATAAAATGTCTGCACCAGAGAATAACTTGTCTGGATTATCCCCCGAAACAGGTTCCGATGGGGGTAAAAGACAAAGTAGCATTATAAATTATTTGAATGGATCACGGAAACTCAGTGATGATGCCAGGTATTCACAAAACGATGTGATCCATGAAGTTCTACAGATGATGATGATGATGATGATGATGATGATTAGCTTTGTTGTGGTGTGATGGTGGCTTGTATTCACTCCAGACTTCACCCAAATGGACATTTAACAATCATTTCACTTAACACATCTGTCAATTTCAGCTTCCTGCTAGAATCAGCTTAACATTCCTGAATCCTTGTGCTGAGCTAGTACCTTACCCTTGTGTGTTAACCAAATTAAAATGGAACATTCAGATACCGTATTTCCTCAATTATACACCTGGGCGTATTTTTCTTTCAGACACTCTTTAATCACATAATAATGGGGAGAATTCCGTGCATTAAAAGTAATCAGCATTTAAATGAGACTCCAGTGATTATTAGCCAGGGGGGTTTGTGTTTAATCGAGGAAATACAGTACAGAGATTCGGTTCAGACACAAATCAAACCTGACATTGAGCTTGCTTTGTGAAGATCCATGTGCAGCTGTAGAAATGTGCTTTGAATGAGAATTGTTTGGTGTGTGCTCATTCATGCATCTTATGAGCTAAGAGAAAACAATTTTGACTTATGATTGAATATTTGACTGTGCTTTGTAACAAAGATCAAAATTGCAAAAAGCTTTAACGCATTATTTGTTTTTCATTAATCGCTGCATCTAATCTCAAGGATTACATTATTTTCAGTGTGTTTGGTTATTTTATCATTGTGTTTCCATGCATACATGTATTGGTATTATTTCCACTTTCTTTGCATTGAACGTGATCTTTGTTCTATACAATGGTATTTTGTATGCCTGAATGATCATTTTTTGATTATGAAATTTCATTCCTTGGTACTGAGGGCCATTTTTTGGAAATTTTGCCTAAAATATTTCATGTTCTGTTCATACTAACTGCTTGCGTATGAATTCTTTTGGTGACTTATACATTATACTGTTACTCGGAGGGGGAGGAGATTGTTTGACTTTATTCTCTGTGAGTGAGTGAGTGAGTGAGTTGGTTGGGTTTAATGCTGATCTGAACAGTATTTCTGTCACATCACGGAATGTCAGCTTAATGTGGAAGGAAATCCAGAAGTGATGCAGACTTCATATGCATACCACTTTGGTGAAACCCATGAGCATGGGTATGGTGCTGACAAACCTAGAAACATAATCGGGGCAAACAGGGATTTGAACCCATGATGACAGATTTTATAGGGATGCAACTCTGCCCAACGAATTGCGGCGTCATATTCTCAGACAAACAGTAGGGAAAGAAGAAATGAATTTGTTTGCAGAGACACATGGTAGTTTCTTCGCAGCTTTTTAATGTTTTCTGTTTTTCTTCAAGAGAATGAGTACATGTTATAAAATATGCAGTATAAACAGGTTGATGTTTGTTTTATTAATTATTCAAGTGGTAAAATTGTGGCAAATGTTGAGGGTTGGTCATAACTGCCATGACAACAATCAGGATGTGAATCACTGCAAGTCAACATGTTATCACCAGCCATTTTGTTACTTTCATCTTTTGAACATTGGAGAAGTAGGGTGTCCCAGTAGTTATAGTGCTGGCATCTCCAGCTGCAGACCCAGGTCTAAACAACAGGGGTACAGTGTGTGGAGCTCATGTCTCATGTCCCTTGCTGGGGTATAGAGAGGATATTGCTGTTATATTGAGGGATATTGCTGTTATATTGAGGGATATTGCTGTTATATTGAGGGATATTGCTGTTATATTGAGGGATATTGCTGTAATGTTGACTGAGTGAGTGAGTATGGTTTAACGCCGCTTTTAACAGTATTCAAGTTATATCGCGGCATGTCAGTTTAATATGGGAGGAAGCCCGAAGTGATGCAGGTCTCAGACGTTTACCACTTTGGTAAATCCCACGAGCATGGGTATGGTGCTGACAAACCTAGAAACATAATTGGGTGAACTGGGATTCAAACCAACAATCATAGGTTTCTGGCCTGCCCAAGGGACGCAACTCTGCACAGTGTATCGCTGAGCCATAGACGACTAGGCCAGCCGTGCCCCCTGTAATGTTGAGGGGACATTGTGGTGTTATTGATGGGATATTTCAATAATATTTATGGGATATTGCAGGGATATTGCTGTGGTATTGGGTGGATTTTGCTGGTATAATGTGGGGATATTGCTTTGATATTGAGGGGATATTGCCCTGATATTGAGGGGATATTGCCCTGATATTGTGGGGATATTGCTCTGATATTGAGGGGATATTGCTCTGATTTTGAGGGGATATTGCTCTGATATTGAGGGGATATTGCTCTGATATTGTGGGATATTGCTTTGATATTGTGGGATATTGCTCTGATATTGAGGGGATATTGCCCTGATATTGAGGGGATATTGCTTTGATATTGTGGGATATTGCTCTGATATTGAGGGGATATTGCTCTGATATTGAGGGGATATTGCCCTGATATTGAGGGGATATTGCTTTGATATTGTGGGGATATTGCCCTGATATTGAGGGGATATTGCTTTGATATTGTGGGATATTGCTCTGATATTGTGGGGATATTGCCCTGATATTGAGGGGATATTGCTTTGATATTGTGGGGATATTGCTCTGATATTGTGGGGATTTTGCTGGTATATTGTGGGGATATTGCTCTGATATTGTGGGGATATTGCTGGTATATTGTGGGGATATTGCCCTGATATTGAGGGGATATTGTTTATGGAGCTGACAACTACTCAATAACAATGAAAACTGAATCCAGGCCTCAAAGTGGCGACTAAAACTGTCGCCAATGCGACCTAAATTTCAGTCTACTGTCTAAACTTCAGAGGTAGCCAAATGACTACCTTGAAAATTTATCTTTTGGCAGCTAAATTCTATTGCTACACATCTATAGACACAAAATTAAATAACAGCTGATCTATGAAAACATGTCTGTTAATAATTGTACTCACAAATAATTCCTCCTAAAGTTGACAATGAACTGAAATACATAAGTATTAATGTAATTAGTACATTATTTTAGTTGACAATGCTAAATGGATAAGCAAGGCTCTGCCTATATTATCTAGTAACATAAATTGTGTCATTGTTCGAGTCACAAGTTACAAAAATCAAGTACAGTTTTCACTAATATGCAATTCCAAGACTAGTGCTATATGTACATATTATAATAGATATTTGATAAAAGATAATTTCAAATGCTTTTGGCTACCAACTATATTGGCTTGACTTCTTGATTTTACCACTGGCTACCTGGAAAAAAATATGTCTACTTGGTAAAAATTTAAACTTTGAGGCCTGGAATCGTGAAAATGTTTTTGCATTTAGTGCAAAGTTCCTAGATTAGAAATGCTGAGTGAGTCCAATGCCAGGGTGGGAGGCAGATGGAGAGGTGGTTATCTCCCCTGCTTTGTAACAGGAGATGACCACGTGGATTGTCTGCTTCAGATACTGGAGGCCATCGACATGCCCAACAACCAGCGTCTGGAGAAGCCGGACCTGTGTCCAGTGGAGTACTACCATCTCATGATGAAGTGTTGGGAGCACGAACCCGAGGAGAGGCCGACGTTCAGTCAGATCTTCCTCAAGCTACCACAGGTAAGATGGAGGCAGACTCGCCTGCCAGGGTGTCAGCCCTGTGGAGAGATAGTCAATACACCCCCACTTCCCAATGTTTGTCATAACTCATAAGGATGGGGTGACATTGAAGAATGCTTGATTCTGATTGGTTAAAAAGTGCTTTCCTTTTTGCAACAGAAACCTCTTATAAATATATTAAGCCTTTTCACACCCATCCCTTGTGTATGAATACATCAGTAGCCAACATATCGATCCATAAAATATGGTTGCTGATCGATCACGGAAAAGAACTATATGCCATATCCTTCTTTCCTTAAGATGCTGTGTCTGCCAGATCTCTAATACCTGTCAGGTCAACGTCTCTTGTGAAATTAATAGACGCCCCCGTGTCTAATAGAGGGAATACTGTATGTTTCCTATTGGATGTTTTTGGCGACTAACTCGCCAAGGCGCTCGGTTCCAAATTAAAATACAAGGTATCCACTCTACAGTGGGACTACATGAAATTTCAATGTTTATCTTCACAATGTGTGACATGGTAGTCTGTATCTTTGACTGAAACATTAACTTTAGGGCGCAGCACGAAACCCATCGTCTGATCTCAGTGTTCGAAATACCTGCCTGCCCGACCGTCCGAGACGGGTTGATTTCAACTCGGGCTGCCAGATTTTCAAATCCCCCTGCCCAACGGTCGGGTTATATTTCATATGTGAAAATATTCTAAATATTTCCCGATGATAAGCATTAATTCACATGTAAAGATGAATGATAAAATGTAACCAAAAAGAAACCTCGTTAGCTTATCCTGAGAAACATATGAAAAAAGTGGACAGGCAGGTTTTGGTCAGGGCGGGCAAGTATTTCAGCTAGCCAGTCCTGTGGTCTGGCTGATATCTTTGGGAGTTTCATACCCTGCTGATCTGCTGTGATTGTGTTGCAGATCCGGCCGGTCCAGGTGAAGGCAGTCAAGGACTACCCGCAGGTCACCCTAGAGAAGGACCATCTCTATTACAAGTCTTATGATGTCATTATCACAATTGATAAGAAGTGAGTTGCAGGCAAATATTGACTTGAACAAATTACGATGAAGTACAAGTGAAGGTCTGACCTTTCTCAGGACCTGATCCAAACTGCTGTCTTTGCACTGAGTTAATGTGACAGTCGTAGCGCTAAGTTCGCTCTGAGGAACAGGCCGCAGATTGGCGTTGTACCCGGTATTTGCAAACCCAAACCCAAACCCAACTCACTCACTCACTGTATCATTTCACCCATATTCCCAAATTGCCATCCAAAGAAACTTGGTCTCGAATCCTGGATAACTCCCAGACTTTCAATCTTCACCAGCCTAGTGGGACGTAATGTTGAATCTGAAATTTTGGATTGCTGTTTTGTCTAAGGTTAAGTTTGATGCTGATGTTGAATAATGTTGTGTTTTCAGACCTTCTAATGCCCCCAGCATTGGGTTGTGGAAAGGGGCTCTCAACAACGGCAAAAGTGGTTACTTTGATCCAACAAATACAGTCCCCTTCATTGAACCCAAGACAAGCCCCATCTCTCTACCCAAGACAAATCTCACACGGAAGGGTGAGTCTCCAATCTGTGTTATATTCCACTGGCATTTCCAATTCCTATTACAAAATGAAACTGACCCCCATTTTTGCGTCACCCAGACGACTGTCATGTAGAAAAACCAGCTGAGATCTGATGGAATGAGGGTGGGTGGTGGAGACATGGTGTTTACCGTGTTGGGTATCAAGGTTGGAATAGGCACCTCTGTCTTGCTTGCTGTGTGAGCTGTCTGGTAGCAATGTGGGACCGATCTTCTCAAGGCAATGGCTATTACGAGTTATGTCCCTTCTATGTCCCTCCTACTGACCAATCAGATTCCATCTCTCATATCACTTGCATTTGCCTCAACAAAATGATGGCACCCAGTCAAGACGATCTGATCAATAATCAGGGTCTATATTAGAATAAGATGGGTTTTAGCTTTTCAGATCACCTTGATTAAGACATGAAATTGATGGTACACATGCTCTACAAATCCTGCAATAGACCAAGATATGCATGGCAATCTCCATGTTCTTTACGAACAGGATGTCAATTTTGTTACACGATTTTGTTTTACTCAGTGGGCGAGCACTATAAAGCCAGCATTAATCTGGGCTAGTTCAAGCAGTATCACATTGCTGTATAAGTGCAACAATCTCGAGCACGACGATAAGCCCCTTTTCACCTCACCTCCAGTAGAATCATGATAAGATTCCTGATTTGTAGACCTCTCTGATCAGCATGACATACCAACTATTTATAGGCAATCTTCTTTTGTGGTCATGTTTTTAAACCAAAAGGTGTGCCTGCATGATGCTGTTCGGGAGGGCGAAAGTTTAAGGCTATGTGCATTTATGTACTCAAAGGCAGTTTTTGATTTATCTCAAAATATTAATGTATTTATATCAGAAGGTATTTTCATATGTAGAGATTATGTTTATACCTTAGCTTACGTGCTCAAATGACAAGATAAATCAAAGTTCAAGGTCAAATTTCCAAAAAGAAAACCTTGATATGTCTGCTGTTAATTAAAAAATTATTCAACAGAACTGATTGGAACTAAAACCTGTCTCTGCACAATGACACAACACATAACATCACAACACAACATAACACAACACAATCTACCAGGAACCAGTTCCTATGAATAGGAAGTGCTCCTTGAAACTCCTTACACATGAATACCACTGCAAACACACACTACTTCAGCATCATTGCTGGGGCACGTCAGTGGATGAGGATGGGTGAGTGACTTTCATCTGATATAACTTTGCAGTCATACATTCAAAATATCATTCTGGGCACAATGCAAGTTCTATATCAGTATTTCAATTACGTGTGTCGATCACACTTATCGTGAGCAAACAAATGTGAGTAAACTTTGTTTCTACTTGCAGAATCCAGCAGGAAGTCCAGCCGCAAGCTGAGAGTAGACATGATCAGTGGACCCCAGAACGACCTCAGACACACGGGTCATATTGGCTACGACGGCGCCGTGTTTGGGGATGTCGGCTTCATTGGGGAGGCCTACGACAAACTGCCTGCAAGAGGTACCAGTGCCTGTCTCTTGTACTGTCTGACCAACCATGCATAAGTTAGAGTTAATATTAAGGAAAAGAAAGGTCTGAGCTCTTTCAGTTTCTGTTGTAATTCTATTCTAATTCTATTCGTAATTCCTGCAAATACCTTACCTCTATTACATCATTGCCATTATCCTGTATTTTGGCTATCATTACACTGTAAAAATCTTTAGATTTTCAACAGAATACTTCTTCATTGTTGGATATCTATAATCGGTGTTAAGGATAATAGTCTTCCATTGTTTTCTCATCTTTAGTAGATCATTTCTAAAGGGTAGCATAACAATGAATTATGTAATATACACACTGAATTGTTAAAGGCATGAAAATGATAATAAGGCTTAAAGATAATAATAATTAATAATTGAGCCTAACCCGTGTGAATATTCACTATGTTCTGTGTCTAATTTATTTTCAATCATAACATGATAGTGAAGAGTGAGTGAGTGAGTATGGTTTTATGTCGCTTTTGGCAATATTCCAGCAATATCACGACACCAGAAATGGGCTTCACACTTTGTACCTATGTCGGGAATCGAACCCAGGTCTTCAGTGTGTAGAGAGAACGGTTTAACCACTAGGCTACCCAACCGCCCCCATAATAGTAAAGAAATAATATTTCATTTTTACAGACACGATTGTGATATTTTTTCAGGCAAAGCAGGTGATGAGAGTGTGCGATCATCTATGACCTCCATTGATCACCGGGATAGTCCTGACAGAGAAGGGTACAGAGGAACCAATGGCTATGGACATTCTTGGTGAGTAATCTCTCCTACCTACCCACAGCAGAATGTGGTGGGTAGCTTCACTTGGCTGTTGTCAGTGTATTTATCAAACAACTATTTATCCACATGTGACAAATGTTATATTTGGGATAACACTTTCTTTGAAAGTACAGATTCTCATACTTTTTTGGGTCAGGTGCCTAACTCTGGCAGTGTGGGTTCGAATCCCGGACGGGACTCAAGCCCAAAAGGTACGAGAATCTGTACTTTACAAAGAAAGTGTTATCCCAAATATAACACTTGTTACATTTGACCACTTTCCAAATGGCATTGTGTGTTCATATTTAGTCACAATTCTTACGTTTTATTTCATTATCCACGGGGTTAGAATAACCGAGTTCCTAACAATTGTATGTGCAGTAGTGCAAATGTCACTAATACTTCAGTCTATTGTTGACGCCATTCGAATCTTATTGTGACGTAAGGTTGAAATGATGTCACACCAGAAACGGTGACAGAGTTGAAGATTGTCGATGTCGACGTCGTTCCACATTTTGTGTTTCTAAGACAGCATTTGAGATCAGTTTATTTTTCTAAAGGGGAGCTTAAGAGGATTAAGAATAAAGGTTAGAAATAAATTATTACACTCGCATGGCTTATTTTGTAATATTATTATGACACACATGTGAGTATAATAATCTCTATATATTAATGGGAAATAACTTGTTAAAAATGAATCCAAATATTATCGCAATGTGGATATTTCCATCCACACATGAAATTATTAATTAATCACAGGGGCAGGTTTCTTTCCATTTCTTGACATAGCTTGTGTGGAGTGTTGCAACAATTGAAAAAAGTTGTTTGTAGCATAGAGTGACCCTCCCCACCATAACTTTTGATAAAAAAAAGCTTGTGTTTATTGTGTTTATTGCAACCATTTTTTCTGGGTGCAGGATGAGCTCGGAGTCCCTGGACAGTCATCATGGTGAAGACAGACAGTATCAGGATATTGATGATGACGGAATTCTGGCCGACTTCAAGATTCCCGATCTCACGGTGAGGACACGGCACTGTTATTGTATGTTTCAGAGGTTTAGGTTAGTTGAGGGTTACCTGACCTCACGGTGAGGACACGGCACTGTTATTGTATGTTTCAGAGGTTTAGGTTAGTTGAGGGTTACCCGATCTCACGGTGAGGACACGGCACTGTTATTGTATGTTTCAGAGGTTTAGGTTAGTTGAGGGTTACCCGATCTCACGGTGAGGACACGGCACTGTTATTGTATGTTTCAGAGGTTTAGGTTAGTTGAGGGTTTGGTGGATGAAGCCTGGAAGGTGTGTAAGTAACTCATGAATTGTTTACCTGGTATGGATCCAATCCTTGTTTAATAGTTGTAGGATCTTTTACAGTTGATAGAGTAAGTTAGACAGACATTGAAATACTTACAGATTTTTTGTTCATAATTTTCATGAAAAGAGTTGACATTGGAAGCTGAGATTGCTCAACAAATCATTTATGAATTGTTCAAAAACTTTGCTTTTTATATGTATATCTTTTTAGATTTACTTGAGTGTGCTACTGTGGCAAATCGTGACAGAATCTCATCGATTTCCCAATTGGTCTTATGTGTTAAGCCCATTATATTATTTTTGGTGCCCTTTGCTATGATATTGCTGGAATAATACGAACAGCAATGTGAAACCTTACTCACTCTCTCACTTATGCTGTAAACAACCAGTTCACCATGTCAAGATTATTACCATGTTGTGTGTATAGCTGGAAGAATATGCAGAATAAGATAATATTCATGCACTACCTTGTTATTGAAAGAAGCCACCATGCACCCTATTGTAAGTCGTAAGAGGCGACTAACGGGATCGGGTGGTCAGGCTCGCTGACTTGGTTGATGCATATCATCGTATCCCAATTGTGTGGATCAATGCTCATGATGTCAATCACTGGACTGGCTCGCCCAGACTCGCCCAGTGCTGCATTAAACAACAAACAAACAAACAAAACACAAACATTGCTGTCGTGTGTCTGACATGAAGGCCTCCTAGCATGGTGTGTGATGTCACTTCCTGTTCTTCCTCCCACAGAGCTCCTTGGACCTGGGCCCGTCGTTCATGGATGAAGTGCTTCGGGCTCTGGATGAGAAGGAGAAGAAACTGGAAGGAAGTTCCACAGAGCCATCGCCTAGCAACGGAGGTAGCAAACTGGATGATCTGACGCTAACCGACTTCGACCGAAGTCGATCTGTATCACCAGGAGGCGACGGCAGACCTCCTCCCTTGCCTACATCACCACCTCGTGTGGTAAGGGTGTGCTTTAGCTTGCAGAGCTTTCTCCAAACTCACATGACAAGTTTGTTCTGTTTTTGACTCTTCCTCATCTCTAAAGTAATCACATTGATCTTGGTTTGGTATTCACTTCCCTGTCAACTGTCTCCCTCTCTCTCTGCCCTGTACATTTGATTCCAGATTCGTAGCCCAACCTACTCAAATCAGAATCATTGACTTGTCAAAGTTTCAGGACACCATTTTGTCTCTTATGATGCTGGGGGTACAAGTGGCCCAGTCCTCTAAGGCGCCGCAATTCGCTGTGCAGAGTTGCGTCCCTATGGCACGCCTAGAAACCTATGATTGTGGGTTCGAATCCCAGTTCGCCCCGATTATGTTTCTAGGTTTGTCAGCACCATACCCGTGCTCGTGGGTTTCACCGAACGTCTAACACCTGCTTCAGGCTTTCCTCCCACATTAGGCTGACATGCCGCGATATAACTGGAATACTGTTAAAAGCGGCCTTAAACACAACTCGCTCACTCTTATGATGCCAAAGGTCTAGTTTTGAAACTTGTTTTGAGTTTGTGGCATACAATAATAGCTTTAACCAATTATCATCCATGTTAGGCAGTGTGACACCCCTATATACATGGCATTATCATACACCACACATCAGGTGTGGCAACAAGAATATGTGATTATACTTGAGGAAAGATCAAAGGAAATGTGTTGTTATTGGTTAATTTTATATTCAACATCCCCATTATGTGATAATGCTGACGATTAAAAATCTGGACATCCCTGAAATATAGCTGACATTTCTGTTCATGTCATTAAGCATCGGACAATACAGGGATGGCAGGCTTTGGACTGTATTAGAACTCTTCTCTGTGGTATTGGCAGTGGTTCTCTGTACCTCAGTCCCCGCTGTATTCCGCGGCAATTTTTTTTCTAAATTCTGAAGTTATTTTTTTGTATATTCGGCAAATTTTGCAAACATTTAGCAAAGTTTAAGTGACCTTCCTGGTTTTGCTGTAAGACTTGTGGCAGGTGTATTTCTGACAAACTTATCCACGGCTAGAATAGTTAATTAAAGTGAATCTGGCGATCACTAGTGTAATCATGCAGACATGCACTTCCGGTGAGCAATAATACAAAAGTCCACTTCCCTTCAAAACAAAATGAGGATATTGATTTCTGTTCTATTTCTATAACTATTTCTCAAACCATAAAATGTTTAGAAAGATCACTTATAAATTGTATTTTCTTATTTCTATAAATACAAAAAACTCAATAATTATGTGGAATGATTTTTTTAATACAAAGCACAATTCAAACAATGATTGTCAGTAAACTTATGCAACTTTTACACCTTTGGAACCAGTTTTTGACTAACTTGTTAAAATTCTGCAGTGCACTAAACATTCGGCAGCAGAAACATGCAAAATTCTGCACAAGTTCTGCTAAAAAAGTGATTTTCTGCAAGATAGGTACATTTCTGCACTGTTTGGAGATTTCTGCAAGATATTCTGCAGAATACAGCGTGGACAAATAGCTGCATGTGGGGGACATCAAGCACTGGGAAGCTATTCTGCATGTTACGTCAAGATCCACATGGTTTCAATTCACATCAAAGTATGCCATGGAAAGTGTAACCCCGGTTACGAATTTAAATGACCATATTTTGGGTACCTATCACTGAGATGGAATTATGAAAAAAATTACATATTTTCAGGAAATAATTGCATTTTAGCTACTGGTGTCGGGAACTGCATTTTCAAATCTTCCAGATGCGATAATTGAATTCCAGCATTTCTTGATATCTGCGCAAACTGCTAATTTTGAAGCAAAATTATGTTTGGTGTCTATGTATGCTGATTGACCATGTAATTCTGTGAACAGCAAAACTGGACACACAAAAATCTCACTTAGATACTCCTTCGTTTGTGTCTTATCATTGTGTGATTAGATTATTCACTTTTCTAACCATTCATATTAACATTTTTTTCAATTCTTCAATAACATTTCATTGGTGAATTTGCGTTTTTCAGCGAGTTCTGGTCCTTGGTGATCCATTGTGCTTATCTTCTCTGCAGTATGTTCTATTCTGCTTGCTGTGCTCAACAGTCACCAGAAAACTGCTATCATTTCAGGAACCTCGGCGCTCCGATAGTCGTTCGGAACCTAAAAAACAAGCCAAGGTGAAACCAATGTCGGCTTCGGATGAAAAAATGATGGAATCAGCCATTGCACTTGCAAACGAATTTGCTTCTCAGAATCAGATGAGAGACAGCCAGAGTCCACCAACATCCCCGACAACTAAGACAGAAAAGAAACGCACAGAATCCGAGAGTAGTAGTGACTCTCCAAATCTCATGTCAAAGTTGAAAAAGATTTCAATTAAGCGTAGCCCTAAACAAGAACGCAAAAGGACGTTTTCTGATGACATGAACAATAAGAGTGACTTAGATGGAGAACTGCCCCCTGAGGCTCAGGAGGCCTACAACATGTTGGTAGTTCGTGGATCATGCAAAGATAATGATGAAAGCTCAGAAAATAGTCGACAGTCGTCTGAGAGAGCATCGCCAGCAAGTGATGCAGTGTTTTCTAATTCCTCCGAGATCCACTTAAGTCAACCTAAGCCTTCTCCAATTGCATCATCTGTTAACTTCCGACCCCCTCTTCCAGCGACAGAACCCAGACCCCCTCCTCCTAAACCTACCCCAAGACCACGAATTGATCCGAAAAAGTCTGAAATCCCTGTTCCTCGACCTCGACCTGAGGTTGTGCAGAGAGTAGAACCAACACAAATAAATCGAGTGGAGCCCACGCCCAGGATTGGGCTCTCCATGTCTGTTGATGTCCCTGATACAAAGACTGAAACGAAGGCAGAAAGCAGTCTTTCTCTTTCTGTTCAGAGGCAACAAAGTTTACCCGAATCAAAAAGTCGGGAGAGGGAGGAACTGAAAAAAACAATTGAAATCGTACGTGTAGATTCCCCGCGGAGGGAGGAGAAAGTTGAGGTTAGTGCAAGTAGTTCAGAGGACTTGGCATCTAAATCAGACAGTGATAGAGAACCACCAAAGTCTTTCTTTGATGAGGATTTCAGTGAACCATCTCCACGGGAAATTATGTCCAAGTTGCGCGAAAAGCGAGTGACAAGGTCACTGGATCACCAGCGAGGTGTGTCAGGAGATGGTGAACCGGCCCCGACACGGAGTCTGCGGGAACCTCAAGGTATTCCTGGGAAAGGACCTTCAGCACCAAGCACGCCAGCAGAAGAGGAAGAAGTGGATACAAATCCGTTACGCATGCTTAGAGGAGGTGCGATACCAATTCGCACAGGACGTGGTGCTCCAGGTACAAATACAAAGCATTCTCTCAGATATCCTAAGTTACAATTTTCCAATCCACAGTTTCAGCGGATGATCAGCGATCCTGGAGATAGGTGGAGACAGCGTCATTTTAACCCTGACCCAGCTGATGTTGCTCCGGCTGTGCCGCCTCGGACGTACAGCTGCAGCGACAGCAACAACAACAACACTGTTCCTCTGCCACCCAGAGACCCTCTGAGACCATCAAGTCTCCATACTAGGCCGCGGGAGAGAAAATACCCGCTTTTGCTCAGCCCCCAAAGCCCAGGTCGCACTTCTTTCTCATACTCTGTATCGTATCGCCAGCCCTCCTCGTCATCCCATGTGCATGAGCCACCCCCTGACCTCCCCCCGGCCCCACCCACTCCTCTCCATCAGGAGTTTGATGCAGATGATGATAATGTATTCAGTTCATCGAGTCCACCTAGGTCACCGTTGCTAAAACCAGTTCAACGGCCAGTAAAAAAGTATTATGTTGGTAATGTCCAGTGCAGTCTAGATCAGTTGGGATTTTACAACAAGCTGGATCCATTTTGGGTGCAGACAGTGGTATTCCCAGAAAGGAGCTACTCTGATAATGAGAGTTCTGAGGATGTCTCCCCTCTTCTACTAGTTAACTACAAGAACTCTGAAAATGTCAGCTACGAAGATTTACTCGACTTTGCGCTTGATAGGTAATTTGACATAGATATATAACTTAGCACATATTAATCGCCTGAGCAGTAAGAAATACAGGATGTTATGTACCAACATGGCAATTACATTCAGGAACATTACAAATGACCAGCATCTCTTATGAACTAAAAAACAGACAAATAAATATAATTTTTGCCATATTGATACATTTACTGACATGAGTAGGGAACAAGATTGAAAAACTTACTGGCTAAAACTTGCTGTATTTATTGCTTCTGCATCTGCAAGATGGTTTCGGCCTGTAGATTTAATACCTAGTTGAGGGGTTGGCAACTGAGAGCTTTATATAATCCCTTGCATGAAACAGCTAAATAGGTCTCAGTAATAACTCGCTTGTTAGTTCTAATTCTTCAAATCCTTTGCTTTTGATATTTATTCAATGTGGTTTACGAAATGCTTACAGGATGATCCGATGTCATGGAACCAGTAGTTGTTTAAAGCCGTCTTACAGAAGTGATGCTGTATTGGTTCCTGTTGATGCTTTGTGGACCATTTTGGTGTAGATTGTGTCCAGGACTTATCTGGGGTAGAATAGGTCTTCAACAACCCATGCTTGCTGTAAAAGGCGACTATGCTTGTCGTAAGAGGCCACTAATGGGATTGGGTGGTCAGGCACTCTGACTTGGTTGATGCATGTCATCGATCCCAATTGCATGGATTGATGCTCATGATTTCAATCACTGGATTGTCTGGTCCAGACTCGATTATTTACAGACCGCCGTCATACAGCTGGAATATTGCTGAGTGCGGTGTTAAACAACAAACCAACCAACCAAATCCTAAGCACTCCTGGGCCTAGACTGTCATAACGTCTATACTTTAACATAGACCTACGATATTCGTACGTTAAGACACCTTTCTAAACAAGGACATGGATCTGGGCCCTGTTCCACAAAGTGATCTTAGCGCTAAGATGGTCGTAACTCTTACTCTTTAACATAGGCTTACGACAATCGTAGCGCTAAGATCGCTTCACGTCCCAGGTCCCTGGACCCAATCTATGTTCCCTTGTTAGTGAAATTGAAATTGATGATTTTTATTATTTATGCGAATGAAATACCACCGGTAGCCATTGGAGAGGCAGTTCATTACAATTTGAAACGAAAATAAGGTGATACATGTTTGATTTCGACAATTTATTATCTGTAATAATTTGCATGAGCATGTAAGTTTTAGCCAGTAACAGTTCTTTTTAAGCACTGTTTAAGATTTATTTCTGTCTGATCAAATATTTGTTTTGAAACAATAGCCATAAATTTGAAATAGCCATAAATCCGAACAAGGTACTGTAATGTTTTCATCATGTCTGAAATATTCCCATTACAAGTTAATCTCATGATACGTAACCTCATTCCTTGTTTGTTTACTAAACATAGGAGACCAGTCATATAATACCCCTAAATTAACATCGGGATCTTTGGTGTTATTCAAATAGGATTCAACGATTCCCTTTACTAATCTTAATAAATCAGAATTGCAGAATTACACTGACTCATTAAAACAGTATTAATTGGGTGAAGTTTATTTTTTAAATATACTTGTCTAAGAAATGTTTACTAATCTTAAATTGACATTGAAATGTTAAGTAAATGGTAAACAGGAAGTCTCTGTCATACTAAACCCACCATTACCTCTGCCAGGGGTGAACGATGTCTTAGTCTCATGTCACACACTCAATAGTATTACACTTTGACATTCCATGTTATGTGCCTTTCTGTGCTGCCTTTTTCTCAATGGACAAGGGGGCACGGGTGGCCCAGTCATCGCGATTCGCTGTGCAGTGTTGCGTTCCTTGGGCACGCCAGAAACCTATGATTGTGGGTTCGAATCCCGGTTCGCCCCAATTGTGTTTCTAGGTTTGTCAGCACCATACCCGTGCTCGTGGGTTTCACCGAAGTGGTAAACGTCTTAGACCTGTATCACTTCGGGCTTTCCTCCCACATTGAGCTGACACGCCGTGATATAACTGAAATACTGTTAAAAGCGGCGTTAAACCCAACTCACTCACTCACTCACTAAATGGACAAACTCGTATGCCACAGTAATAGTAATAGTAATAGTAATAGAAATAGTAATAGAGTCCCCACTAGTCACTGACTGTGACTGTGATTGCATTCTTAAAATTAAATATATACAAAAAAATTCTTATAAAATGAAATTGTGACAAGGTTTTTACAGGTTTGAAAATCACTTGGATGTCAAGTTTCTTCTTGAAAAGCCGTAAAATTGATAGTGTCAGCCTTGAAAAGCCTTTAAAATTACCAAAATAACTTGAAATGCCTTGAATGTGTACAAAATGACATGGCCTTGTTAATATAAGTATTAAAACACACAAACATAATAGTTTTGTACCAAGGTTGTTAAGTGTGATTTACCACAGGGAGAGATTTGACACTGTGCCAAAGACCTTGAAGAAGTCATCACAGATTTAATTTAATCTACTTGTTGGTTGTAAGAATCAATTTTGTTTGAAAATTTGTCATATTTATATTGCTGTTTTGATCATACGACTAATATATAGTATGCTGGATTCAAAAAAGTATTGACAGTCTGAGGCCAATAAGATTAAAAAAGCCTTGAAATCTAGTGTCCCGTATCTGTATGAACCTTGGACGAAGACCATGATAAATAGGATACACAACTCTCTTGAAAATAGCAGTTTTGGAAATCTCTGCCAAATATAAAATGTCAGTGACAGAATAATCTGTCTTGATTGTCTGGCAAAACAGATTCCATTGAGCATGAAAGGCAGGTTAGTGGTGAAAAAATTAGATGAAAGAACACTGAAAGTCAGTGCTGACTCCTGGTGTTTGTGGAAAGGGTAGCATGCGCTGAGCTGCTGCCAGCACCCACCACTCACACAATGTGCATAGTGGAGTAAGTAAGTGTTTGGAAAACAAACGATATTGCGTGTTTACTGTTTATAAGTAAAATTGCATCAGTTAAATGTTCAGGGAAATTTCAAACTGAATCTGTTGCCTCTGATTCCAGAGTTTTGAAGGGGGCACGGGTGGCCCAGTCGTCTAAGGCACCGCGATTCGCTGTGCAGAGTTGAATCCCTTGGGCACGCCAGAAACCTATGATTGTGGGTTCGAATCCCGGTTCTCCCCAATTATGTTTCTATGTTTGTCAGCACCATACCCGTGCTCGTTGGTTTCACCGAAGTGGTTAACGTCTGAGACTTGCATCACTTCGGGCTTTCCTCCTACATTAAGCTGACACGCTGCGATATAACTTGAATACTGTTAAAAGCGGCGTTAAACCCAACTCACTCACTCACTCACTCCAGAATTTTAAAGGAAAGTTTCCATAATAATTTTCATGAAAATATAATCACTGATCCTGTTTTGGGGGTCACTATCATAAAAAAAGATTTGTTTCACCCCTGGCAAAACATGTGAATTGGGTTTCTTTGTTCTCTGTATTTCTTTTCAAAGCAAATAATGTTTGTTATGTTAAGTTTAATGTACTATTATAAAGCAAGCGCCATCTTAAGGATGTCCAAATCTTGATAAGACTAAAGCAAGTTAAGCTGCTCCTTGTTGTGACCATACGGTTAAGACTATCTGTGCTGGTAGCCAGGATACTGATGTACTGTTATTACCTCATGAACTGTACGTGGTAATTTCTGTCAGTTTCCTCGAGAATGATAAACAATGATGGAGAGGTGAGGACAGCATGTTGATGTTGTTTTGTTGAACGTCCTGTTTTCTTTTTCATGATGCATCAATCTGTATTGCTTGTTTTAGAGGACTCACAAAACATATTTTTCGTGTTACCGACCTGATGAGATTAATTCATTATAAGTTTCCTTTTTTTGATTCTGATAGGAATCTCAACAAAGTGATCTTATCGCTATGGTGATTGTAAGCCTGTTTTTTAAGTATGGGAGTTTCGATCACTTTTGTGCTAAGATCATTTTGTGGAATGGGTCTGTTTCACAAGGCAACCATAGCTATGGCTGTGGTAAATCTGTATTAAGCTGTTAAAGTAACACAGTTATTGCAGACCTGTGAAGATCCGGGGTAGAATAGGTCTTCAGCAACCCATGCTTGCCTTAAAGAGTAACTATGCTTGTCGGAAGAGGTGACTAACGGGATCGGGTGGTCAGGCTCGCTGACTTGGTTGATGCATGTCATCGTATCCCAATTGCATAGATCGATGCTCATGCTGTCAATCACTGGATTGTCTGGTCCAGACTTGATAATCAGATATCAGATAGCTGGAATATTGCTGAGTGCGGCGTTAAACAAGAAACAAAACACAGTCACTGCTCTGGGATTGCCTTGTGAACCGGGTTGGG